ACACGCACTAACCCACTCCACCCCCCGCAGCATTCAACTTCTCGCACATCATCTCGGAGCTCTCCTTCGGGCCCTTCCTCCCGTCCCTCGTCAACCCGCTCGACAGCACGGTCAACACGGCGCCCGGCCACTTCCACAAGTTCCAGTACTACCTGTCGGTGGTGCCGACGACGTACAGCGTGGGTCACCCGGGCGACCGCGGGTCGTCGGCGCTCTTCACCAACCAGTACGCCGTCACCGAGCAGAGCGGCGCCGTCGCCGAGAACATGGTCCCCGGCATCTTTGTCAAGTACGACATCGAGCCCATCCTGCTGAGCATCGTGGAGACGCGGGATAGCTTCTTTGTGTTTTTGATCAAGGTGGTGAATGTGGTTAGTGGTGTGTTGGTGGCTGGCCACTGGGGATACCGGATGACGGACTGGGCGAAGGAGGTACTGGGCCGGCGCCGGAGGGGGCATAGCGAGGGGATGCTGGGGCGGAAGGGGGACCATTCTGAGGAGTAGAGGTAGGGTAGGGCTGGGCTGGGCTTCTGGGACGGGGAAGGGTTGGGAGGCGGTATAGATAAGAGTATTCAAACTGCGTTTTGGATTATGTTATATAACACCTTTGCATTGTTAGTATCGGCGCAACATGATGATCTTTTGCGAGTAACTCCAGCCCACGCGAGATGCCAACAACCATTTTGCATCAACCATTTTTCCAAACCCAGGGGAAAAAGAAACAGTAACAGCCACAACAACGATCAATACCGCTCCATCAACCACTGCCTGCGCTCCTCATCGCCCATCTTCCCCAAAAGCTCCAGCTCACATTCCTTCAGCGCCACATATCCTTCCACCAGCTCCGGCCCCATCATCTCGCACAACTCCACATCCTTCTCCAGCTCCGACAGCCCCTCCTCCACACTCCCTGGCAGCATCTGATTCACATTCAACTCCTTCCGATCATTCGCCGTCATCTTAGCCGGATCAATCTCACAATCCCCCCACACCAGCACCTCGCGATCCACCACGCCCCTCACACCCGCAAACAGCACGGCCGCCACCGCCAGGTAGGGGTTCGCCAGCCCATCCAGACACTTGATCTCCCAATGCGAGCCCTCGATGCGGCGCAGGGGCGTCTCGCGGTTCTGCGTGCCCCAGGCGACCCAGCGCCCGCCCGCCCAGACGCCGTCCGACACGCGTTCGTAGCTGGCCGGGTTGGTGTAGGCGAAGGCCAGCACGGCGCGCAGGTGCTTGAGGATGCCCGCGTAGAAGGGGTGGTAGACGTCGGGCTTGTCGCTGCCGCCGTTGGGGGAGAGGAGGGACAAGTGCATGTGCGAGGCCGTGCCGCACGCGTGGGGGATCGGCTTGGGGTGGAGGGTCATTTTGAAGCCGGCCGCGGCGGCGAGCGCCGACATGACGTCGCGGGTGTGCAGGAGCGTGTCGGCGGCTTCGACGGGTGCGTAAGGGGGGAGGATGAGCTCGAATTGGCCCGTGGCGCTCTCTGCGTGGAGCTGTTCGACGTAGATGCCCATGTCGGCGAGGGCGGCGACCATGTCGCGGAGGAGGGTGGCGACTTTGGGGTTGGCGAGGGACCGGCTGACGGACCAGGCGTGCCCGTCGGTGGTGAGGGCTGAGTAGCGGGAGGTGTTGTTGGTTTTCTGCTCGACGCGCTCGAGAAGGACGAACTCGATCTCGAAGCCGATTAGGAAAGAGAGGTGGTTCTCGGCGCCGTATTCGACGGCCCGTTGGAGGACCGAGCGAGGGCAGGTGGGCACCCGCGCGCCGGATTTCTGGCGGAACTCGCCGTGTAGACTAATGTGCCCTTCGATCGGTCCCCTCTTGAGGGAGGAAAAGTCCGGATGCAGGCGGTATTCGCCAGTTGGAGACGCGCCAGGTATCATGGTGTCGTTCTGAAGTAAGCTGAATACAGCGGCGGTAATACCAATATCCGTTGAATTGCCCTCGTTAAGGAGAGATGTGAACTTCCTAAAGGGGACCATGCGCATTCGATGTGACGCAGTGAAGTCGACCCAGCATATCCGGACAAAATCAGGGGCCGGCTGGTCTTTCAAGAAGGCCCGAAGAAGCTCGGCGTCGCCTTGATATCCACCCTGTGCGAGAGCGCTCTCTTCTTCCACTTCGGAAAAGTCAAGTTCTAGATGATAGAGTTTGTTGGCATTCTTGAAGAGGACATCTCGCACAAGGTCGACAGCAGCCCTCCAACCGATGTGGCCGTTGCGGACGTAGCCGCATAAGACCTGGAAATGTCAGGCATCAATTCATGGGCAATTGATTGAGAGGAACCCACCGCCTCGAACATTTCCCGCATCTGGATGACAGCTAGTAGGTATCTCTCTGGAAACAAGTGCCCATCGGTGCTCCAAAGGATCTTGGACCACGGGCACAGCTCCAATATCTGCCGCAAAACCCGTTCTTGACCATCCTGGCTCACGAATGGGAACACCTCGCCGATATCAGCGTATACATTCTCGTAGACGGTTGCTAGGTATCCCATCTCGCGCGTGAAGGGGTAGCCGGCGTGGAGAAGTACAATGGGGACGGTGGGGTACAAGCGGATAAAGTCTTGAAGGAAGGATGGCGAGGACTTGGATAAGGCGAGGTCGTTGTCACCGAGGCCGGTATGGAACTGGATTGGCTTCTTCTGTCTGGCAGGACTGTCTTGGATCAGCTGGGCTGTGCGGTGCACCACCAAGTCGTTCAGGCTCTTGGTCTGTAGCCTCTCAAAGTTCAGAAGCGCATAATTGGCGATGAGCTGCTTGAAATCCTCGCGCGCCGGTGTCTCTTGCATCTCGTTGAACTCGTTCGTGATGTCCAGCCCGGTACGGTAGCAGATGACTGATTTGAAGCCAACCACGTCAGGGTCCTCGAGGGCGGACACGATTTGGGCGTCGAACTCCTGTACCCATTCATCAAAAGCATCGTCGAAGACGTCATCGGTCTGAGCAGATTTCTCGCATGCACTTCCGATACGGCGAATAATATCGGCAGCGATTGTCTCGATGCGCACGATGCGCTTGCACTTGCTCCGCGTGTAGTCGTCATGCCACGAGTATGCATGGGCGTCGTCCTCCGTATCTAGACCGTCGTCGACGAGAATGGTTTCAATGCCGAACAGGCAGTCAGCCGTCCAGTCCTCGAGGCAATCCAAGCGCTTCTCCTCGATGGCGGCCACAACTGACTCCCTAGGTGTTTTATTAGTTTTCTCCTCTCGGAGCTCAAGAGCCATCACCGTTGCTCGTACCAAGTGTAGCCACAACCCAAAACGGAAGCTAGCTGACGGACGGCGCGAAGATGGGGCAGCGAAGTAGTAGCCGAATCGATTGCATTGCCGGTCGCTCCGGTGGTGATGGCTAGCAAGGGCTTTTTGCTAAGAGCTTCCGGCTTGAGGAGCGGGTGGGCGTGATGGTCGATGATCGGGGTGTTGCGAATGGCGCGAGCAACGGCGTCCACCTGGGACGGCGTGGCCGTTGCGCGCATGCCAACCCACGAGGCCATGCTTGGAAACACTCAGGAAATTGCCCTGATGATCGATGGCTAGGTACTGCAGAGGGGTTGTGATGCTAAGAATCGAGGTTGTACAGATGAGGGGTCATGTTATTGCGTATGTCATCCTGGTATCAGGAAGCTCCTGTCGCCAAGACGCAATGATGTGATGATCATCACCTTGGGCTCGACCATCTCGCCTCGTAAGGTAGGGATGCATGCACTGTGTAGGTAGCTCTCCTGGGTCGTACCTTTTAGTGCAACGGCATAGCGATGTCGCATTCCGCAAGACGCGACAAGAAGTATGCCATAGGGTATTAGATGCTGAATATACCCAGAAACAAAGCCCTCTGTAACTGGTAACTATTTTACACAATGACCACATGGATACACATAGGCACCTGCGCGGTTCCGATATAGCTCCATGCGAAACTACAGTATTCATGGAGAACTGGATTCATGGATGAGAGAGCTGGCGAGATTGGTGCCCGAAGCCAAGAACTGCGGGGGGTTGACCCGCTCCGGACGGGAGCCAGATCTCTTGGCACTTTATGTCCCGATCTCCGTTCGGTCTTTCGGTGTTTTCTTTTTTTTTTTTTTAGAAAAAAAAATGGTATCAGTCTTTGCTAGCACTTATTCGTATGTTTTCAAACTCTTGGATTGAAGGGGTCTTCGTCTCAGCCTTCTTCTTAGCCACAAAACAATTGCCTTCTGGCTTTCCATGCCCAGCAAAGATGTCGAACACTCGGGTCACAGAAACAAATTTAGTGTCAGGAACGGTAAGACGGGCGGGTCAGGACCTGCATCCTAATTTTCAGGATGCGGACACGATACCCAATAACTTGGATGCCAAAACTCTGCGCAGACAAGCACGAAGAGTGTGGGAGCCTCCATGTCAGCTTTGTACAGGCTTCGCAAGGATCTGCCGGCTTGGCAATGCTTGTTCATCCGCCAAGATGCGCCGGCAGGCCATCACAGCCCTGCAATTCGTCGCAGTGGTGGAGATTGGCTCAGGCTGGCCAAAACAAGCTTCAGATGCCCAGGAAAGCCAAGCGATCTGTTTCCCCGATTCAACGCATGGACGTTAGGTCACGTCAGCTGCGAGTTGGATAATTTGAGCGCAGGACAATAATATGGTATTTGTTAATGATTACAGCACGGGGCGTATTGGCACTAGCAGTTCGGATAGCCCTCCGAGCTCCATCACCTGGCCCCTTCCCCCCAAATCTGTCCCCACTGATCAGCCGGCGACGACGCGTTCCCTCCCATGCATCTGTCCGAGAGACCGGTTTGCCAGCCGACTATCGTTCCACAAAGAATCGGGACGACCCACACTGAAACAACGTGCTGTTAAACACCTCACTGTGTTCCCACCAAGAGACTATTGTTTATCTTGTACCTCCGGAACGAACACAGCCGCAAGAGGAGAATGGGTTCACGTTTTCAACCCCCCGTTAGCACCCACACCGGACCCACGGCAACCCCAATTCCAAGTTTTGTCTTCTCCCTAATCTGTACAATTCGTAAACCACCACATCCCAAACCAACTCTGATACCACACCTCCTCTTTCCTTTCATCATTGTAGCTTTGTCGTCACTTTGGGAGAACCTACATTTTTACTACCTTTCCGCGCTTTGCGCTTCTCACTTAGTCACTCGCTTAGTACCTAGGTACCCAGATACCTCCATATCCAAATATGATTTTAGCTCGTTTTGTGACGGCCGCCCTGGCTGGCGCCGGCGCTGCGAACGCTGCATACAGCATCGCGTCTAACGGTTTGTCGCCATCGCTCCTCAGCGACAACGTCGGGCAGAAACTGACAAGCAACGGACAGCCGATATAAAGAAGACAGCTTCGGACGTCGCCTGGGACATGATGCAGTACTACAAGGGCAATGAGTCGGGACAAACGCCGGGAATCCTGCCAGGCCCTCCTCCGGCCGGTGATTACTACTGGTGGGAGAGCGGCGCCATGTGGGGGACCTTGATCGACTACTGGAAGTTGACGGGCGACTCGACATACAATGACGAAATCACAAAGTCCCTGCTTTGGCAGGTCGGGCCAAACCGAGACTTCAAGCCACCCAACGTCACAGCCTCGCTCGGCAATGATGACCAGGCCTTCTGGGGTATGTCAGCCATGCTGGCCGCCGAAAACAACTTTCCCAACCCGCCGAAAGACCAGCCGCAGTGGCTGGCACTCGCCCAGGCTGTCTTCTATACCCAATCCACCCCCGACCAGCACGACGACACTTGGTATGTCGAGCCCACCCTAGTTTTGCCCTACTTCGGCTATTCTGGTAGAGCCGTAACTGATCTGAGTCGGGTAGCAACGGCGGGTTGAGGTGGCAGATTTATCTCTCGAACAACGGATACGATTACAAGAACAGTGAGGTGCCCCCCTATCAGCGCTCACAAACCAAACCTAACACTAGTAGGCATCGCGAACGGCTGCTTCTTCAACCTCGGCGCAAGACTCGCCCGTTATACCGGAAACCAATCATACGCCGACTGGGCAGAGAAGACATGGGACTGGGTAAAGGGGGTCAAACTCATGGACGACGAGTACAACATTTATGACGGTGCTCACGTCCAAACCAACTGCACCGACATCAACCGCGCTCAGTTCTCGTACAATAACGCCGTCTACCTCGAGGGAGCCGCATACATGTACAACTACGTAAGCTTTGATCCGTCCTGCATATGCATACCCAGCCCGCAGCTAACACCAACCCCCGCAGACCAACGGCAGCGAGAAATGGAAACAGCGCCTGGAAAGCCTAACCGACGCGACCATTAAGACCTTCTTCCCAGACGACATCGCGTACGAGATCGCGTAGACGAAGGAGCACATGTCGTGCACGGCGGACATGCTCAAGCTACAAGGGCTACCTGCAACCGTTGGATGGCGGTGGCGACGCAGGTGGCGCCCTTCCTCGCGGACAAGATACTGCCCGTCCTCAAAAAATCGACCGAGGCCGCCGTGTCCACCTGCACGGGCGAGGCCAACGGCCGCACCTGCGGCTTCAAGTGGAACACCAAAGCCTACGACGGCAGCCACGGCGCGGGCCAGCAGATGAATGTCCTAGGGGCCGTGTCGTCGCTGCTGATTGCGCAGAGCCCGCCGCCCGTGACGAATATGACGGGCGGGACGAGCCAGGGCGACCCGGAGGCGGGCACGCACTCGGATAGGAATAATAAGAAGGGTGATTTGCGTCCCATCACGGCGGGGGATAAGGCGGGGGCGAGTATCTTGACGATTCTGGTTATTGTGTCGGCGATGGGCACGTTTGGGTGGATGAGCACGGGGGTCTGATTGTGAAGGTGGTGAGGGATGGGTTGTGGGGATCTGGTATCCGGTGGCACCGTGGTTGAAAAACTGTGTTTCTTTGTTTTGGGCCTGGCGTTGGGATGACACGTGGATATCCTTAAAAATACAGTTTTGGGTTTAACGTCTCCTGGCGGTTTAATTCTCATGTTGCGAGCCCTTTCATGAGAGTGACCTCCGTGGTCTGGATGGTGTTGTGTTGTTTTTGGATCGTACTGTACACCTCCGCGGGCTTCACCAAGCCGGTGCTGTTTCATGGCTGCTGTCATGGCCAAATGGCGCGAATAGCTTTAATGACCTTGCAGTCCGTTTTATGCCCCCCTTCATTCCATCCCTCGGTTTGGCACTCCTACGCATCGAAAGGTCAGGTAACACGCCCTCCGCTACGTTAAACCCCAACCGAGCAGAATAAGACATGACTCACCTTGCAACAATACTCAACCTCCCCCACACCCAGTACACTTCATCAACGCCCCCCCACTCCCATCCTTTCTCCTCTCCCCACCACAACTCTCACACCCCCTCCCCCTCCTTTCCCCATCCCTCCCCCTCAACCAACCTCCCACCCTAACAACCCTCTCCACCCCTCTCCGTCCCCCCCCGCCGCCATGTCCATCCCCCCCTCCCCACCTTCCTTCCCCCTTCCCACCCCCGTCGGCACCACCCCCACCCCGCCCTCCTCCTCCCGCCCGATACTCACAAACCCCCGACTTCCATCCCCCTCCTTCGGCGGCGTGCGCCTCGCGCCGGGCAGAGCCAGCGTCGCGCCGCGGCGGTAGCCCAGTCGGGACAGGTCGAGGGTGTCGGGCCCGGAGGCGGGGCGCGAGCCGAAGACCACGGCGAAGGAGGTGTTGGTGGCGTCGGTGCAGACTAGGGTGGGTTTGGTGAGGGTCATGTTTTGGTGGATTTGCGCGAGGAGGTAGTAGGGTTCTTGTTGTTGTTGTTGGTCTGAATTGGATGGCGTGGTGGTTGTGGGGATGGAGGTGAAGGGGGGGAAGGTGGTGGGGGAGGTGAAATCGGGGAGGGGCATTGTTGTTGGGGGTTGTGGGTTTGTGTGGTGTGGTGTGTTGATTGGCAGGGTGTTGTGGTGTGTTGTGGTGGGCGGTGGAAGGTATAACGTGAAGATGTCGAGGTGAGATGTTAGGTCAATGTCGATGCCGAGGCGGGGTTGGTTATGGAATGGTTTCATGGAGGTTGGAGCTCCACCTGCAGCTTGGCAAGGGTACGGTACCATGCATGATAGGGGTGACGTTAAGTGCATGCGAAGAATTGGTTGTGTGATTCCGTTGTATATGTTCTTCGAACTACATATGTGCTCACATCTCCTCCCGTTGCCTTTCCCTTTACTCGTCCGAAAAGTCGGCGTACTTGAACTCGTACATAATGTCGGTCCGCATGGTGTACTTGATCCCAGCCAGCACATCATCCCCCGAGTGCAGCAGCCTCCTGTGCTGAAAGATGAGAACCCGCCCAGCTTTTGGGTTGACGTCGATTCTCCTCTTTTCATCATTCGAAAAGAACGTCGTGGCACCCCCCACCAAATCCGCCCCTTCCACCTCGGCCTTGGAATCATTCAGGTACAGGTGGATGGTGAACATGGTCCGGATTGTCCTCGCCGGATCACTGACATCAGAATACGGCGCGTCGCAGTGTGCTATATCACCACAATTAGTCAGTTACTCCACTCAACCATGCTCACATACCCCCGGAAGGCAAGGAAACCTCCTCCCCCCACCACCACCAAACACAAAAGAAAGCACTTACGCTTAAAAAACCCCCCCTCCCCATACCTCAAAAACCGCATCCTCTCATTCTTCGTCAAAAACACGCGACCTCCCCCCCTCCCACCTGGACCCCTCCCTCACCGGCCCCAGCAAATCCTTCTCCTCGGCGCCGGCGCTCTCAAACCTCTCCGGCAGGGGCTCCCCCCCCAAACACCGCCTCCACACGCGGTCCACCGCCTCCTGACAATCCCACACAATCCGATCCCCATTCCGATACCCCTCCTGCAGCAGCTCAAACCCGCCCCCGACATTCGCCAGCGCCGGCCCTCACGGATCGTCGTCGCCGTTCCGCAGCTCCACACCGGGCTGGCCCCGCGCCGGCACGCTGGCCTCGGCGAGGGCGAGCAGCGTGGCGCATTCCGAGGGCGAGAGCACGTTGTCGAGGACGGTGGCGTAGAGCCCGGCGT